AAATATACTAAGTATTGTGATCCTAAAAACTTTTAATTTTGCCCATCTTCTACTAAAAGCCTCTATCCTTATGTACTCTAAGTACTGCCCACTTTCTCTCCTCTACAAGAAAACTTTAAAAAATATGCACAAGTACATAAGATGATAACAAATGTTTGCCTCTGCCTGTTGATAGTGTGAGCAACATTAAAGAATTTTTTTAACTTATATTTTTATTGTTACTTGTACAGAAAGAGTTACCATTTCAACAAATCAGTTTATAAAGTAAATGCATCTTGGTCATTTGTCACCCCTTTCGTCATTTTTCTTCCAAAAATCCCATCCCTTAATTTTCTTTTATTTCTTAGAATAAGGATTGAATATTATGACTGTATTCCCCACTTTCCTGTCTCCATTTGTATACCCTTTCCATGTGACAACTCTCCTTCCCCACTATGCTTTTTTCAATTGCCAGTTTCTTAATTTTCTTTTATTTCTTAGAATATGGATTGAATATTATGATTGTATTCCCCACTTTCCTGTCTCCATTTGTATACCCTTTCCATGTGACAACTCTCCTGCCCCACTATGCTTTTTTCAAGTGCCAGTTTCCTTGTATTAAAACTAAGAGTAGGTTTTCTAAGAAATTATACCTTAGAGTTTTGTCCTGCAAATACTTTACTTCAGTTAATATTTTTGTGTCCACTTGTATACAACTCCATATATGTTCACTTGTACATTTATACATTAGTTGTAGCTTCCACATATGAGAGAAAAGATATGTCTTTTTTGGTCCTGACTTATTTCACTTAGTGTAATTTTTCCAGGTCTGTCCATTTCTTTGCAGTGTAATACCATTCTTCCTAATAGATGAGTAAAATTCCATTGTGAGTGTGAGTGTGTATGTGTGTGCACGCGCCACATTTTCTTGATTCAGTCTTTTTAGGGGCATCTGGGCTATTTCCAAATGTTAAAAAAATAAGATTACTCCTTGATTTTCTATGCTAGTTACTCATCCCTCTGACCACTAAGCTTAGACTATCTCTGTTCTTAGTAGTAGCTTATATCTTACCTTTGCTTTTCAGATATTTCATGTGAGTCCAGGTTTATATATGACTGCTTAATTTATATTACAGGTTGGATATCTAAATTATCTTTCCTTACTCTATCCCCCACCCTTTATTCTTTAGTCTTTTCCATCTTAGAATGGAACATATTCATTATTCTTAGTCAAAAATAATCTTAAGGTTATACATCATAACTCTTTTATATCCCTACCATCTCAGAGCTTTTTCTCACATTTTATGCCCTTATTTTCTTTTATAGCATTTTAACTTTATCATACTTAATTGTGTTATAATTAATCTTTCATTGCAAGAATACAATCTTCATGAAGACTAAAAGTTTTCTTCTCTTTACTGGTTTAGTGCCCAGAACTGTGTGTGGCTCACAGAAGGCACCTTGTAAATTTGGTATATTAATGAAGAAAGAGAAACCTGAGCTTGTATTATAGATACCTTCCAGTGAAGGTTCATTGAAAGTGTTCAGCATGCTAAATAACAAACCCAAGTCCTTTAGATACTTTATAACTAACATGGATTAAGTGTAACCAAATGCCTTTCTACTGTGGTGTTACTGTGGCTCATTAAATAAGTAGAGTCTTAGGACATTTGGTACAATTTTTTAAAAACCTGTTTTAAGTAAAACTTAATTTTGGGGATGCAGCTTGTATTATCTTGCCGTGGGGGAAATGCTTTCTTTTTAATGGCTATTTTGTTAGTATCTTTTAACTTTTACTAAAAAGGTCTTGGTGAGTAAATCAAATGCCTTGAGTTTTACCTGTATTGAGTTTTCCTACTATTGTCCTAAGGTGAATTAATTTAATCTATTTTATCTATAAGATCTATTCTACTGTGTGTGCACATGTGCACGAGTGCATGTGTGCCACATTTTCTTGATACACATGCAGAAGTATTGTTTACTCTATTCTTAGATAAGACTATATCATAAAATGTTCCTCAGTGTTTGTGGATGGGTTACTGGCTACAATAGCCAGCATTTGGAAACAGCCCGGGCTGTTGTTAAGTGGGCAGCATTTTCTTGCTGTAAATAAGGGCATAGTTTCTTCAGGCAAAATTGTGAATGGTTGTAAATTGACATATTTGCCCTAATAATATAGCACATGAATAAATTTAGTTATGAGGCTGATGTTAGGATTCTTTCTCCCTTCAGAAAACTAGAAGGGGATTTTTTCTGGTTTTTTTTTTTGGCCAGTTGTGGGCCTGAACTCTGGGCCTGGGTATTGACACTGAACTCCTCAGCTCATGGCTAGTGTAGAAGGGGATTTTTAACTACTCTATTTGTAACTGTTGTAATCTATAGCCATAAGTTCATTTTATACTTCATTTCAAACAATCCTATTGTTGGATTTAGTTTTATCTCAAAGGTTAAAAAACTTGTGGTTTTCATATTTATACTCTAAAGATTTATATGTTAATTATTTCAAGGACTATAAGAAGCATTAATAAATTATATTAAAAGTGCAATCATAGTTTTTTTTTTAAGCTTATGTAAGTAACAAGCTCTGAATATGTTTTAAATTCTAGTTTTTTCTAAATCTGCCTACTGCTGTATGTATTAATGAAAAGTTAGAATAACTGTCTTGGTTAAGAATACCAATTTACTCAGCATCCAGTGATGTACTGTCCCTATCATTAATAGCCTATTCACATTAAAATTTTCCTTTAGGGAGTGATGATGAATACAGTGATGATGATGACATGAGTTGGAAAGTGAGACGCGCAGCTGCTAAGTGCCTGGATGCCGTAGTTAGCACAAGGCATGAAATGCTTCCTGAATTCTACAAGACTGTATCCCCGGCACTGATATCCAGGTTTAAAGAGCGTGAAGAGAATGTAAAGGCGGATGTTTTTCATGCCTACCTTTCTCTTTTGAAGCAAACTCGTCCTGTACAAAGTTGGCTATGTGACCCTGATGCAATGGAACAGGGAGAAACACCTTTAACAATGCTTCAGAGTCAGGTCAGTTTTTAAATAATATTTTAAATGTGGTACTTGAAGAGTTACTTATAAGTGAAAATCTGAGTTTTAAAAGTCAAGTATAGTAGCTCACACTTGTAATCCCAAATGCTTGAGGGGGGCATCAAGATTGGAGATCAAGATTCAAGGCAAAAAGTAAGATCTTGTCTCAAAAGAACAAGCCAAATGTGGTGTTTTATGCCTGTAATCCCAGATAAGTGATAGGAATAGATAGGCTGAGGCCAGCTAAGCAGGAAGCCTGAAATGAAAGCCTGTGTGAACAGTCAGTAAAACAAAAAGACTGGTGGTGTGTCTCAAGTAATAGAGTTCTTGAAGTCCCAAGTTCAAAATCCTGGTACCAAGAAGAAAAATAGGACTTGCAGAATATCTTATAGAAGTGCAACATTCTGGGGTACATATACATAGCTGTTAATCCACTGTAAGTTGTTTAATTTTTAAGCTTTTTTTCTTTTGTGTGTGTGTGCCAGCCAATCCTAAGGTTTGAACTCGGCCTGGGTGATGTTTCTGAGGTTTTCTTTTTACTCAAGGCTAGCACTCTACCACTTGAGCCACAACTCCACTTCTTTTCTCTTTTGATTTCTCTTTTCTTTTCTTCTCTAAGCATTCTTGATTTTTTTTTTTTAAGGCTCAGCAAAACTTTATCTTTGATACTAATGGAGGAGTCGTAATACAAATGGAGCTGTGGGGTCATAGAGTCCTCTTTGTTTCTAATGCTATTTAGTTGAGTTGTCTTAGACAAGTTTTTTAGTCATTTATTAAACCTTGCTTTTTTCATTTGTAATAAGAGTTAATTTAGAAATATTTACCCAGGGTAGTAAAAGATAAAATGATCTGTGTAATTTCAGTATATGTACTTCCTACTAGATGGCAAATATTTGACACATCGCCCTTATTAAAATAACTAGTTTTTCACCTGGTATTTTTTCCATGAAATCCTAAACATTAAACTATATAGCTCTTTTTAAATATTTGCTACATACTGGGAATTTCCTTACTTTATAATGTAGTTCTTATACCAGCTTTTGGGTGGGGGGGCTCTGTCAATCTTACATCTGTTTTTATAGGTTATGAAACAGATGTTGAAAGAGATTAAACTATAGGAGGAAGAGGTAACACACTATATCTAGTTTCCAATTAATGCAAATAAATTGAGAACCTAATTATAACTGAACATTGAATAATAAATATAGAAGTGAATGGGATAAAGTAGAAGCAGTAAGTATATAGAATGCAAAACATTTAGTAGAATCACTAGGAATTCTGAGTTTTATAGAGAATTAGATCATCTTTTTTTTTTCTTGAAAAATATATGAATTTATTGAATGAATTGCTCATTTTATGCAAGGAAATTTAATTAGTGACTAGCTAAATGTAGCAGCTCTACCTAAAGGTATTTACACAGAGATGCAAGTTGTTCTTGGTGAAAATAACAAAGGCAAATAAACATCATTTTTTGGAATTCAGACCAAATTCACCTCAAGTACAGGTAAAACACTTGCAAGTAAGACAGCTATTTTTTTCAGATACTAAGGATCTGCAGAAACTCCAGTGATTAACTGGGACATTTGCAAAGTGGAAACAAAAATTAAGATTTAGTCTTATCACAAAACAGTCCTAAATTTTGCACATTCCTTATAGTCTTTTGCCACATTTGTATAAAAATTATGGTATGACAACTTTTTAGATTTTATTTTAATACAACATTGTCCATAAACCATTTTTCTTTTTCTTTTTTTTTTTTTTCTGTTCTGGAAGTTTTATTGGCAATATGAATTTAAGATCATAAAATGTTAATATATCCTAGTTTAGTAATCTAATGTCTAGAAAAACACTAAATAAGTACAGATTCACATGTGATGACTTAAGGACATTTATTTTGAAATCCTTTAGACTAAGGGAAAAATGCTCAATGATAAGGAAATCATTAAATTATGATGGAATAATTGAATATAATAAAATACAAAAAATATGGGACACTTCACAAGTTTGCGTGTCATCCTTGTGCAGGGGCCATGCTAATCTTCTCTGTCATCCCAGTTTTAGTTTATGTGCTGCCGAAGCAAGCACGAATTAGATCATTTCTTTTGTGCCTACTTCTCAGATCATTGTTCAGTTATGGTTTGTTTCTATGTGGTGGTAGATAGGGTGCTTAATCTCTTTCTGCTTTTTTATTGGGGAATTTTAGAGTCACAATTTGTAACCTGGCATCTTTAGATTTGCAAATTGTAAGTTTTACTGACAAACCAAACATCAGAAAAATTCCCCAAGTGATTTTACTTTGCCTTTATTGTAATAGCAAGAAGTAGGTGGGGGGCATGGCTATTTTATGGTTACTTTTCCATAAGTTTTTTCCTGCCTTTGACTTATTATATATCTAATATTTTGTTTAATAAGACTATTTAGTTGCTCTGTAGGAAGCTAATGACAGCTTTAAAAAATTGTTACAGTTACAAGAGAACATAGATAGAACATTCAACAAATTTGCCTCATATCTAACAAATCCCTGTTGGCAGAGAAATGAAATGTAACCTAAAAAGATCAGTTCTTCCCTTTGTCTTCATTCCCCATAATTCATTGTTTATTGAGGAACTACCAATTGAAAAGCCAGCTAATGAGTATGTGATATTTACAGGTTCCCAACATTGTTAAAGCTCTGCACAAACAGATGAAAGAAAAAAGTGTGAAGACCCGACAATGTTGTTTTAACATGTTAACTGAACTGGTAAATGTATTACCTGGAGCCCTGACACAACATATTCCTGTACTTGTACCAGGTATGTAAGAAAAAAATCAGTGTCTTTGGGAACTTTTTATTTTAATACTTAGGGAAACATAATTATTTCCCTTAAAGAGGGGATATTTGTGACAGCTTTGAACAGCCATCTTGTACATGTGAAGTGAGGGATCTGCAAGTAAAAAGTTAATTTTTTTTTAATCTTACTATCTTGAAATGTAAATTTAAAAATTTATACCCAAACTGTCTTTGGTTTTAATATATAGTACAGATTATTGCAGAGTACTGGTGCCTCATGCCTGTAATCCTGACTACTCAGGAGGCTAAGATCTGAGAATCATGGGTTCAAAGCCAGCCTGGGAAGGAATGTTTTTGACACTCTTCAGTTAAGCACCAGAAAAGGTGGAAGTGGAGTTTGACTCAAGTGGTAGAGTGTTAGCCTTGAGTAAAAAAGCTCAGGACAGGCACACATACTATAGAGAGAGAGATTATAAAATTTTACTACTTAGAGATAATACAAGGGTGGGAACCTCAAGAATATTCTGTGGGTTGGTTTTTAATTTTTTTATTAAGCCTACACAAAAATGAGTACTTTTTTTTGTTGGTATTTTAGGAATCATTTTCTCACTGAATGATAAATCAAGCTCATCAAATTTGAAGATTGATGCTTTGTCCTGCCTATATGTAATCCTCTGTAATCATTCTCCTCAAGTCTTCCATCCTCATGTTCAGGCTTTGGTTTCTCCAGTGGTGGCTTGTGTTGGAGACCCATTTTACAAGATTACATCAGAAGCCCTTCTTGTTACCCAACAGCTTGTCAAAGTAATCCGGCCTTTAGATCAGCCTTCCTCGTTTGATGCAACTCCCTACATCAAAGATCTATTTACCTGTACCATTAAGAGGTTAAAAGCAGCTGACATTGACCAGGAAGTCAAGGAAAGGGCTATTTCCTGTATGGGACAGATTATTTGCAACCTTGGAGACAATTTGGGTTCTGACTTGCCTAATACACTCCAGATTTTCTTGGAGAGACTAAAGAATGAAATTACCCGATTAACTACAGTGAAAGCATTGACACTGATTGCTGGGTCACCTTTGAAAATAGATTTGAGGCCTGTGCTGGGAGAAGGGGTTCCTATCCTTGCTTCATTCCTCAGAAAAAACCAGAGAGCTTTGAAACTGGGTACTCTTTCTGCCCTAGATATTCTAATTAAAAACTATAGTGACAGCTTGACAGCTGCCATGATTGATGCAGTTCTAGATGAGCTCCCACCTCTTATCAGTGAAAGTGATATGCATGTCTCACAGATGGCTATTAGTTTTCTTACTACCCTGGCAAAAGTATATCCCTCTTCCCTTTCAAAGATAAGTGGATCTATTCTCAATGAACTTATTGGACTTGTGAGATCCCCCTTATTGCAAGGGGGAGCTCTTAGTGCCATGCTAGACTTTTTCCAAGCTCTGGTTGTCACTGGAACAAATAATCTAGGATACATGGATTTGTTGCGCATGCTGACTGGTCCAGTTTACTCCCAGAGCACAGCGCTTACTCATAAGCAGTCTTATTATTCCATTGCCAAATGTGTAGCTGCCCTTACTCGAGCATGCCCTAAAGAAGGCCCAGCTGTAGTAGGTCAGTTTATTCAAGATGTCAAGAACTCAAGGTCAACAGATTCTATTCGCCTCTTAGCTCTCCTTTCTCTTGGAGAGGTTGGGCATCATATTGACCTAAGTGGGCAATTGGAACTAAAATCTGTAATACTAGAAGCTTTCTCATCTCCTAGTGAAGAAGTGAAATCAGCTGCATCCTATGCATTAGGCAGCATTAGTGTGGGCAACCTTCCTGAATACCTACCATTTGTCTTACAAGAAATAACCAGTCAACCCAAACGGCAGTATCTTCTGCTTCATTCTTTGAAAGAAATTATTAGCTCTGCATCAGTGGTGGGCCTTAAACCATATGTGGAAAACATCTGGGCCTTATTACTAAAGCACTGTGAGTGTGCAGAAGAAGGTACCAGAAATGTTGTTGCTGAATGTCTAGGAAAACTCACTTTAATTGATCCAGAAACTCTTCTTCCACGGCTTAAGGGGTATTTGATATCAGGTGGGTATCTAGATTTTCTTATTTAAAAGTGTTATTGTTAATTTGTTACCTTGAAAGATAGCTTCTAAAAGGGTGGTCTTTTTTTATACGTAAAAGCTAAATATATGCTGAAAAAGTGTTAAAATGTAGATCTGTATTCAAGACATTTTGTTGTTTAGAGGGATATTGTAATTAGGTTAAACTTTAACAAGTGATCTAATTCCTTGTGCTGACACATTCTAATGTTGCTGTTTTTTTAACATCCAAAAATCTCCTGAATAATCCACTGTAAAGAGCTTGCTGATAATGATTATATTAAAAGTGGGGAAAATAGTTCCAATGAGAGATACTAAGAAAGATACAGAGAATCTGTTGGAAGCCAGCTAGAGCAAAGAAATTCAGGAGATTCTTGTCTCCACTTAACCAGCAGAAACGAATTAGAAGCATGGCTAAAATGGTAGAGTACCAACTGCAAGCAGAAGAAAGAAAAGCTAGAGGGGAAAACCCTGAGAACAAACCCTATATCAGCAAATCTCTCTCTCTCTCTCTTCTCTCATCTCTCTTCTCTATCTCCTCTGGATTTACCAGTGTTGATCCTATTAAAATGAAAAAGGTGTCATTGCTATTCTTAAATATTTTTTTTAATATAAAGAAAATTTTATAAGTTGTATATGGATTTAACATCTTCCATTGCTGCTTGGTTTTCTCTTTCACAGAAGTTAATGCTTTTGAAATCTATTGGAATTTGTTTTTAATTTATGGTACTAGGGTTTGACCTTGGGACTTGGACTGCTAGGTAGGCATTAGTAAACTTTGCTCCTTTTGTAGACTGAGTATTATAAAAGTAGCCTGTTTGACCAAAGAGATTTGGTATTATGTGCCATGGTTGAAATCATTTTGTGGTCGTTGGAAAAGCATATACCAACAGACTTACAACTTATTTTTAATTAGGCTCATCATATGCTCGAAGCTCAGTTGTTACAGCTGTGAAATTTACCATTTCTGATCATCCTCAACCTATTGATCCACTATTAAAGAACTGTATAGGTGAGTTAAAGATAAATGTTCTGATTAACTGTTTGGGAGAGTTTTGACCATGAGAATCATAATTATTACCAGGGAGTTGAAATAGAGTAATTATGTCATTAAAGATATATTGATATGTATGTCTTATGACATTAGCAAACTACATTAGTATATATTTGCTTAGTTTGAAATTTATTATCAGATGATTTTGCAAAGAACTAAAACTACTAAGTACAAAGCATATCTTTAGAAACAACATACCTGACCATCATATTTTGAAGATGACCCAAGATAACTCTTATGAATAAAATGAAAAGATCTTAGATCTAACAAACTAGTCAGAACTTTTCTTCTCAGATGAAAATAAATTGTGCTATTAGGCCCTAGATTTTCCATCGCTGTTTTTAACCCTCTAGCTCCCAAGGTCTATGGAAATGGTCTCATAAGTTAGAGCCAAAGAAGATAAAGTTAAGATACAATAATTCCCAAAAGAAGAAAGATGAGATATCCAAGAAAGTCTATAGAGTATCTCTATCTGTAAAGACAGGAATTAGCCCCTAGGATTACTGATACTTTACAATACCCTGTATTTTATTGTTATCATTGGTTTCTCTAGAGTTGGTAGGAATCAAACTTTTAGAAGTTAGTTTGGTGGTTTCCTAAGGATAGGAGAATGGAAGTACCAGGGAGAAACTAGAGGGACATAACTAAGAAGCTTTATAGCTCCATGCCATTTTGCAGTGTTCTGGAAAAGAAAAATAATAAATTATATATCATTAAATGCTTGCCTCTGTTCTGCTTTTATCAATTTTTTTCTAAAATATATGAACATTTTTGTATTGTGCAAGAAGAAACAAAGAGACCTGTGCCCCATTCCTAGAGAAACATCTTTCAAAACTGGATGGTCAATGTGCATACGGTCAATGTATATTTAGTCAGGTGGTAATCTTTCTGGTTGAATTATCATTTTGAATTGGTTCATTTGAACATGACAATCACTGAAGAACTTCTTTTAAAAAACAAATTCCAGGACTAAGGAATTGGAATTGGTGTAGTCTGTGACACCATTTTACATTTCAGATGCTTTACTGAATGCAGATATTCTAATTAGTTTTCTAATCTACCAGTTTAGAAATTATGCATACAAAACTGTCTACTGAATTAGTGTGGTACATTAAACTTAAGTTTGAAGTTGTTTTGTTATCTACATTCTTTTAAATC